TAAGTACCCATGTGCATGGGGTGTGTTTGTGCTCACTTTGCACTGTGCATAATGGCTCCAGGAGATGCATCTGTGCTGCTCTGCACACACTGCATCCACTGTCCTACGTGTCCTGTGCACGGTCCTGTTGTGCATGCCCAACAGCAAAGAGGTCCAGCCCAGTTCCCAGCACCTCCCAGAAGGACTGAACATAAGAAATGCAAGGTAGCAGGTTTTGGTGCTGCTTTCCATCAGGTTGTTTCTATATGCGCCTGGTCTTGCCTCACCTGGCTTCGTGCATTGTGCACCTATGGCCCTCCATCCCAACACTGTCAGGGGTTATGGAAAAAGTGCCATTGCTTGGTGGCATGGATCTGATCCCAAATGAGCCCCAAGTGGCTCCATTGGCAAAAAGGGAAGCAGAAGCATGTCCGGAGACCCAGAGCAGCATATGTGCCCCGTAGGAGCATCAGCCCCACAGCAAGGAGCCCAGCTCCCCAGGCAGAACCCTTGTGCTGGGCAATTTCTCACTGCATCCCTCTGTCCCCAGCCCATGAAGGTGCATCAGGACTCCCTGGAGGAGCAGCAAGAGAAGGAGATGGATGCCGAGCCTGTCTACGAGGAGGTGGGCAACTTTCCTGAGCTGGCCACGCTGGAGCTGCAGCGGGGGCTGCTGGCGGACCCCTCACCTGTACCCACCATAGACAGATCCCAGAAGCCATCCTCATCCCCTGATCAGCCCCCAGCCCCTGTGCTGCGCTCCTCACTGCCCCCCAGCCCAGCACAGAGGCTGCCAGCTCCCTCCGTCACCAAGGCTGTGTCCCTCGAACGGGGCTTGAACCTGGAATGTGACAAAACCCCATCCTGTGGGCTCAGAGCCACCCTGACTGCCTCTCTGGAAAGGAATCTGGAGCCACCCACAGTGCTGGCCAGGGACCAGGAGCAGACGGCCATGTTGGGGCACAGCTCCAGCCCCGAGACCTCCATCAGCACCAAGAAGAGGAGCGCACAGCCATCCTCACCCATCAGCGACAAACTCATCCAGGAGCTCAGCAGCATCATCCTCAAGAAGAGTGACGGCCAGACACAAGGGACAGGGACAGGATCAGGCCAGCCTGTGACATGAACTGGAATGGCCACCGACCTGGGGGTCAAGTCACATCTGGTGGCAGCAGTGACTCGAGTGTCACAGAGTGGGCACCCTCCTCCTGGCCTCACCCCGGGGCTGGGCTGGGAGCAGGGACAGACAGACGGGGACCAGGCATGTCTGCATGCGTGGGCAGCACATCGGCCACCACTGCCAGACTCAGCGCCGAAGGAAGCGAGTCAAAGGGGAAGTAAAGCAGAACTGCAGTGCACCGAGCATGGGCTGAGGACACGTAATGACAGAGACATAGGATACACAGGGTGAAGCTATCACTCTGCAATCAGCATCCTGAGCTCTGCCCAGCATCCCCTTTCCGGCCCCAGTTCCATTGGGCAAGGCACCCATTTGCCCCCGCTGTCCCTTCTTGCATACATTGTGGTGTATTTTGGGTGGTCCCCAGCAGCAGAGCTGGCCATCTGTGTGCAGCACGCGGTCCTGGCGATGGAGGATGGCTCCTGCTTATCTGGGGTGTTTACACCTTCTCCTTCCAGCATCGGGGAGAAATAAAGGTTTATTTGGATTCCAAGGGGTTTGGTAACTGCAAGGTGTGTGAGGAGGGCACCAGGCAAGGATGGGGGTGGCAGATACAGGGATGGGACTGTGCAATAGGAGCAATAGGAGGATAACAGAGGTCTTGGAAAAGTGACTCTGTCCCTTATGGGGCTGTTTCCAATGGCATAGGGTCAGCTGGAACTGGGCTGGAACTGCAGAAGGGTCTTCTCCACATGGAGAGCATGGCACAGTGTCTCTAGCCCTGCCTACAGCTGGCTCTGCTCACTGGACCGCAGGGGCAAGGCTGTCTTCTTCCACTCCCCCTTTGTCCCCAGCCCACAGAGGCAGCAGCCAGCCTCCCATATCCAGCCCCGAAAATCCTTGGAGATGTAGAAATAGAGGAAAGGATCAAAGCAGTTGTTAAAAGCACTGAAGGCCAAGGCCAGGGTGTACCAGCTGTAGGTGATGTTGTTGCAACCCGTGTCCTGCTGCAGGTAGTGCATGAAGAGCAGCACATTGCTGGGGGTGAAGCAGAGGAGGAAGGCCAGCAGGACCACAGCCAAGACACGCACCACGTGCCCGTAGCTCTCCTGCTTGGCCAGCAGCCGAGCCAGGATGCAGCCATGGGAGATGATCATGAGCACAAAGGGCACGCCAAAGCCCAGCCCCACTAGGCAGAGGAAATAGAGCCGGAAGAAATTGTCCTTCCCTTGGACATCGTGGCACGTCGTGATGTTCAGCTTCGAGATGTGTTCTGTCTGTGGGTAGAACAGCAGCGGGCTCACACCCAGCACCACCAGCAGCCAGATGGTCAGGCAGACACCAGCCCTGCCCCACGTCCCTGTGGAGCCCTTCCAGAGGAACGGGTGAGCCACAGAGACATAGCGCTCCACGCCGATGCAGGTGAGGAAGAGGATGGAGGTGTACATGTTCCCATAGAAAAGGGCCACCATGGTGCGGCAGAGGTAGTCCCCAAAGAGCCAGTGGTTGCCCAGGAGGTGGTAGGAGATCTTGAAGGGCAGCAGAAGGATGAAGAGGAGATCAGCAGCGGCCAGGTTGAGCAGGAAGAGGCTACTGGAGCACCTCCTGAAGTTTTTGGCCAGGACCCAGCAGGCCAGCGCATTGGCAGGCAGCCCCACGAACAGCACCACAGAGTAGAGGGTGGGGAGGAGGATGGTGGTGGTGGTGCTGTTGAGGAAGGATTCCAGAGAGGCATCGGGGCACTCAGCTTCTTCACGGGGGGTCAGGTGCCAAAATGCCCGCCCTTTGCTGTGTGCTGCAAAGGACAGGAGGAGTCAGACTGGGCTAAGAACACCCTCCCAGTGCCCCTTCCCAACTGGGTCCGCATGGCAGCTGTCCCAGGGAGCCCTCCCTGCAGAGCCACCAGGAGCTGGTGTCTCTCTGTCCCATGGCAGCTTTGAGGCACAGAAACCGGAGCATCTGCTGGGATGGGACTTGGGAATGGCTGTGCCTTGGTTTGGGGGACATGGGACAAGGGCACCAACACCAGGACAGAGCTGGGACACAGCCACCTGTGCATCATCCCATGTGTGCCAGTACTGAGCTGCCCCTGCCCCCCGGGGCATTGCAGACCCACAGACCCTACACTTCTGGAGGGCATTCTGCATGCACAGCTTGCCTATGGGACTACGCATGGGGACCAGGGGAAGATGTCCTTCCAAGGCAGGGCCTGAGTCACCCCAAGGGTCTGCAGTACCTGAGCTGTCCCCCTGACATACAGCCACCCCCTCCAAGCGCCAAGTTTTAGCATGCCCCACAAGGACCCCCTGCTCTGCCCCTTTGCCCCTACCCACATTCAGCCTCTGCCCACATCACCCACATCTCCACGCCAGGACAGACACCACATCACTTACCCAGGGGCAGCTGTGTGGCCAAGCCGAGCAGGAAGGTGACACCAAACCCAGCAAAGCCAGGCGATGTCACGAGCTGGGCCATACCTGTGGGGTGGCCTCTGCAAAATCCGCGTCCCCACGAGTGTCACAGGCAGGGCTGGCCCTGCCACACGTCACCACAGCAGGATGTCCGCCAGGTCCTTCCTCTTTCTCCTCTGCCTCTCGTCCATGCACCGCCCTCATCCACCGTGAACACGGGCAAAATGTGACATTGAAGTGTGACCGTCTCGCGGATGTCACTGAGACACGCGAGGATGGGGCTTTCCAGCCACCGGAAGGAGGAAGCGGATGCTATGTAACGGGTTGGTTTGCAAACCACAGCTGCAAGGGCAGCAAAGATATATCCGGAGCAGACATGCACTGGGTTCGATGGTGTTGATCGGGCTGAGGAGCCTGATTTGTCTCTATTCTCTTCCTGCCACCGAGTGGGTGCTGGTTGGCTCCACTCCATGTTCTCAACTCTCTGTGTCTTCCTGAAGCAGAGGGGAGTGACAGCTTGGTGACACAGTCCCAGACAAAGCGTCGTGCATGGACAGTGCCAAACCATGGCCACAGTGCCATGGAGGGACGGAGGGGACAGCGGAGAGCCCTGCGGGGGCAGAGCACGGGATGAAAGTGACAGCAGAAGGAGAAGCGAGCAATAAAGGGAGATGGGGGACAGGAGGGTGTGGGGGACATAGGGGACATGGGGTACTGAGGAGCACTGTGGCACTGCACAGCACCACACACGTGTCCCCATGGCAGGGGACCCACGCTGGCAGCTGCACACTCTTCATATGATACAGAATGGGGCTCCCAGCGCTCCACAGGATCATTGAGATCATTGCCTTGCCTGTCCCCACACAGCAGACAGCACAGTGCTCCCCATGTCCCTGTGAGCAGCAGGGTTGCAGGGCTTTCTACACCTTCCTGTTCCCATATCCCCCTGTTTCTTATGCCCCCGTGTCCCCTGCCGCCCTGTCCCTCTCCTCATCCTCCTGTTCCTGTGTCTTGCCATTCTTGTGTCCCCATGTCCCCCTGTCCTCCTGTCCCCTTGTCCTTGCATCCCTCCGTCCCCCTATCCGCATGATTCCAAGTCCCCACACCTCCACACTCCTTTCCCCTACATCCCAACATCCCCATGTCCTTCATCCTCATGTTCCCTCTGTCCCTGCATCCCCGCGTCCCGTCCCAGTGGCGGATGTAGAGGACGGAGCATCGGGAAGGGCGGGGAGGGGGCGGAGCGGAACCTGCATGGGTGGAGTGGGCGTGGCCTTTTCGGGCGGGCGTGGTCTAGAGCAAATGGGCGTGGCCTGTACTGTGTGGGCGTGGCCTATGGTAAGTGGGCGTGTTCTGTACTGGCTGGGCGTGGCCTGCAGTAAATGTGTGTGGCCTGTGCTGGGGTGGGCGTGGTCTGTAGTGAATGGGCGTGGCTTACAGAGAACGGGCACGGCAACGCGATGGGCGTGCTGTACAGCGGGGGGCGGGGCTTAGAGCGGAGGGGCGGGGCGGAGGCTCAGTTCCGGGCTACGCACACGCGCTGCGGGGCCGGGTGCGGGTCTGGGGAGATGCAGCCACCTCCGCGCAAGGTGAGAGCGGGGTTGGGGTGCAGTAAGGGTGGCATCGGGATCTGCGTTTGGGGACTGCAGTGGGAATGGGGGCGGGGGCGGAGATGGGGATGGGGACGGGGATGAGGACGAGAATGAGGATGAGGACGAGGACCCCCGAGCAAGGGCTGAGTGTTCTGCCTGCAGGGGAAGCTGAGCCAGGTGGTGAAGCTCCATTTTGCTGAGCAGCTGTGTGGGCTACAGAGCAAGCAGCAGCGTGATGCCGAGCTGCTGGAGGACATCAGGTAAGGGCCATTCTCAGCCCGCTGAGGTGCAGGCACGGCCGTGTCACCCGTGGGGGTGGTAGGGAGAGGTGGCCCCACTGCCACCCTCTGCTCTGCTGCCTTGTCCCACAGGTCCTACAGCAAGCAGAGGGCTGCGATTGAGCGGGAGTACGGGCAGGTAAGGGTGTGTGGGAAATCAGCCCTGCAAACAGAGCTTGGATGGGGCCCTTGGGAGGAAGGGTCAGCGCAGTGCCAGCCGGGAGGGATCGATGCATCCTGGAGCACTTTGCTGAGTATGGCACAAATGCAGTCTGCTGAGTTTTGGGGCACAGTGGAAGTGCCCAGGGGGAGGAAGCATTCCCACTCTTGTGTCTGCTGGGTCATCACAGGGCTGGCATGTATCTGAGCTCCTGGGGCTTCCCACTGCATCCCTTGGGGTCTGCGTTGTGCCCCACACCTGAGCCTCCCTTCCTGTGTCCCCCCTCACTGGGGTTTTGGCAGTGCCACCATCCCCACTCCCCCTGATCCCTCTTCTCTCCTCCAGCATCACCCAGGGGGCTCTGAGAGGAGCCCGGCCCCTCACTGCACTGTGCCTTCTGCCTCCCTCCTGCTGCCCTGCTGCTTTCTTGGCCACTTACCTGCTCTGGGCTCTCAGCACACATCTTGGTGGGTGCAGTACCCCATGGGGGCCATCTCCATGGGGCAGAGGGTTGGGTTGCTCTATGCTTGGGGCTGCTCTGCCTTCACAGGTGGCATCTATCACCGGTATCCCCTTCCTAGTCCTCACCCCTCAAAGCTGCAGCATGTGAGCTTTCCTTTGCCGACTGCCCCAAGGCAGCATTTATGGAGCCAGCCTTCACCTCGTTTCCCTGCATGGGCAACCTGACCCCCTGGGGTGACCACTGGATGGGGGGGGGTCCTCCCCTACACCCATCCTCTGAGCCACAGCAGGATGCCCACGAGGGAGTAGTGACAACAGTCTGTCCACAGGCACTGCAGAGGCTGGCAAGCCAGTTTGTGAAGAGAGACTGGCAGCGGGGCCGCAGCGATGCTGGAGACTCGAGGTGGGCTATGGGAAATAAGGATGGGGACAGGGGGTTGACCTGTGGCCTTCTAACCAGGAGGTGACAAACACTAGGCTGGATTTGGGTGCCCTGAGGATGCAGCACTGGGTGGGATGTCCCCGCAGATGTGGTACCTGGGGCTGCATGTCCTTGTGGGCATCCTCAAAAACCCTGTGGGTGTAAGAAAGCCCTATAGATTGGCGAACTCTGTTCCCATCCCTACAGGAGTGTCTTTGCTGTCTGGAAGGGCATTATTGAGGGGACGGCATACACAGGGCAGGCACGTGTCAGTGCCTCTGAAAGCTACCGCAGCCTTGCTGCTGAGGCCATCAAGAGCTCCCGGCTGTCCAAGGAGAGGATGCTCAAGAAGGTATGGGGTGAGGGCACGTCTGCAGGGCTGGCTGAGGCAGTGGAGATATGTCCCAGGTCTCATGTCTCTTCCCAGAGCATGGAGCAGCTGCAGAAGGCGCAGGCAGAGCTGCTGGAAACGGTGAAGGAGCTAGATAAAGCAAAGAAGCAGTTCAGCCACCTGCAGCGCAGCAGCGAGGTGGCCAAGGATAAGGCTGCCGACGTGGAGGCACGGTGAGCAGGGAGGGGACAGGGGCTGCCATGGTAGCACTGGGGATATGCTATGGTCTACCTGTCCCCATCCTCACTAGACTACGTAAGAGTGACCGGAGGATTTTCCACACCAAGGCCAGCCTGCAGAAACTCAGTGCCAAGGTGAGCAGCACACGGATGGCACGGTCCCTGAGCATGGGGACAATGGGGACGGTGTGTCACCTTGCTGTCCCCATCCCCAGTTCTCCATGCAGATGGCGGAGTACTCAAAGCAGCGGGCAGGGGTGCAGAATGAGTACGTGCTGACATTGGTGTCTGCCAATGCCCACCTGGAGCACTATTACCATGTGGAGCTGCCTGCCATCATGCAGGTGGGGGTTGTGTGGGGGCACAACGGTGCTGCAGGGACACTGTGTCCCATCACGGTCACCCGATGGGTGCAGGGTTGTCCTGTGGCACTGGGGCTGGTCTCGCTGGCAAGTTTCCACGCCTTTCCCTATGGGCATGTGCTGTCCATAGGCTCTGGATGGGGACCTGTATGAGCGGCTACGTGACCACCTGAGCACGGCTGGCCGGGCAGAGGTGGAGAGCTGTGAGATCACACAGGATTGGTTCCAGCGCATCTCGGAGGCGGCCGCACGGGTACTGCCACCCATCCCATCTCTGTGCTGAGTGGCACATGGTGGGGATGGGAGTGCATCCTCCAGCCCCTTATTCTCCCCTATGAAGGTGTGCCGGGAGCAGGACCTCCTCCTCTTCCTGCAGGACCACACCGCCTTCATGCTGGTGCCTGAGCAGCGCTTCCAGCTTGATGGCATCCAGGAGGTAGATATGAGAATCAGTACAATATAGGCTACTGCACACCTGGACCCTTCCCAACAACCCCATCCTTGCCTAGGTGTCCCTGCTGCAGCCGGAGGATGGCGGAGCCAGCCTGGAGAAGGAGGCACGGCGCTGGGCCATGCGTGCAACACGAGACAGCAAGAACAAGGCACATGGCGAGGAGGTGAGCACACAGCCCTGGCCGTCTCTCCCAAGGGGTCTCAGAGAGTGACTGCTGCAGCCCCATGTTGCTGCCCATGCAGGTGCTGCAGAGGCTTGAGGCCAGGAGGCACCAGGTCCCCGAGGCAGAGGTGGCCGCTGTGGAGCGGCAGATGGAGGAAGTGCGAGAAAACATCTGGAAGGCAGAGGTGGGTCCCACATGTGCTCAGGGTGCCCTCAAACTTCATCACATCCTGGGTGGGGAATTGTGCTGGGATGCTGTGCTATGGAGCAGCCACCCTGGGGACTGTGGTCTGTGGAGGAAGGGGTGAGGCTGAGCTGTCCCCCACCCCATAGCTGTCCCCTACTCCATAGACATCTCCATAGTCACTGAAGCATCCTTCTACTCGCAGGTTGGCAGGGCGAAGGCAGAGGCACGGCTGGCACTGCTGCGTACAGCAGGGCTGGATGTGGATTCTTGGCTGGCCGGGGCTGTGCGGGCAGGTGGGGAGGTCCCACGCACCCCCAGCACAGAGGCACCCACAGGGCTGGACCCCACTGAGTTCGATGACTATGACAGCGATGAGACGTTTGAGGAGGCTGAGCCTGGGCATGCTGCTCGCACCTACCCCTACACTTGTCGGGTCATCTTTGGGTACCAGGTAAAACCACCGGTGCCATTCACGCCTGGGGATGGCACTGCCAGCCTGGTTGTCACATGTTGTCACCTGTCCCCTGCAGGGCTGCCATGCAGATGAGCTATCCATCGCACAGGGAGAGGAGCTGGAAGTTATCGAGGATGGCGATATGGAGGAGTGGGTGAAGGTGGGATCTACCATCCAGCTCGTCCCAGTGCTGGGGGCCTGGGGCCACATCACTGGAGTGGTAATGTGGTCTCTGTCCCTTCCAGGCTCGGAACAAGGCAGGGCAGGTCGGCTATGTCCCTGAGAAGTACCTGCTGTGCCTGAGCTGTGTGGGCAGTGAGCCGGGCTCAGCTGCCATCACTGGAACCACAGGACCTTCGGGGGCAGCCCTGCAGCGACAGCTCTCCAGCATTATGGCTGCGGAGCTGGTCCTGGAGCCTGGAGGTGGGTATGGGATGGGGACATTGGGCATCGTGCTGGGGCAGGGCCAGGCGATGACATCTTGGGGTGCTGAGCCACTCTGCCCACAGCTTGGCTGGTGCGAGCCCTGTACGACTATGAGGGGCAGAGCCCCGAGGAGCTGAGTTTCCCTGAGGGAGCCATCATCCGCGTGCTGCCTCGTGCTGAGGATGAGGTGGATGATGGCTTCTGGACTGGAGATTTTGATGGCAGAGTTGGTGTCTTCCCCTCGCTGGTAGTGGAGGAACTGACTGGGGCACGGGGCACGGCTGGGCAGGTTAGTGGTGGTGGTGGTGGTGGTGGTGGTGATGTCTGGGGGGTTCTGTGCTCTGCCCACCCACCACACTGTGTGTCCCTGTGTCTGCAGGAACTTCCCTCACCATCCCCACCACCTTTCTCCCCTCCTGGCCTTGCACTCAGTGCCAGTCTGGGTTCCGGCCCTGAACCACTGCTGGAAGGTGAGTGCCAGGGGGGTGGCCTTGGGGGCACTAAGAGCCTGTCTGAGCCTTCTGTGGATCTAGCCTGCAGGCAGGAGGGCATAAGCAGCGGGCAGAGCTCTCCAGACCTGGCAGCCAACCGCATCCGTCCCGTATGTACCCGTTTACAGTGATGCTCTGACCCCCAAACCTATCCCAGAGCCTAGAAAAGGGCCTCTGTGCTGGGATGTGGTGTGATTCTGGAGGGGTTCAGGGCAGTGGGACCCCCTCCCTCAGCCTGAGGGCCCCATGTCTGTTCTTCTCCCCACAGCTCCGCGCACCACCCCCACCTCCTGGCCGAGCCCCCGACCTGGAGCAGGACCTCAGCTGACCCTGGGTTGCCCAGGCTGCAAAATCTTTGCCCATCCGCACATGCCCCTCACCCCTGGGCTATCTATTCCCAGTGGTGCAGAGGGGAGCAGGACGCATGGCACAACCTGCTACTCCTTGAGCTGGTCTCCTTGGGGGCCACATCCTGCCCAGCACTGCTCGTGGGGCACTGCTGCACAGTGTGGGGCAGCCACGTCCCTGCCTCTGCCTCTCGTCCGTAGCATCACTTCCCTGGGGCCTCTTCTTCTCCCCATGCTGTGGCTGCACCGTGTCCAGCATGGGCACAGAGTGGCCATGCCCCTATTAAAACCAGTTCACCCCACCGCCGTGTTCAGCAGCTTTAATGGTTTTAGCTCATCTATTTACAGTGCAGTTCAACACCAAAGCTCACCCTGCAGCGGGGCAGGGCAGGAGGCTTCGTCTCCATCAGCACCCCCGGGGGCTGCGTGGTCCCTCCCCATTGGCACCACGGGCATTGTGCTGGTGCTCGGTGGCACCGCCGGGGCTGTGATCTGCAGTGAATTCAGGGTTGGGGGGCTCAAGGCGGTGCCCCTGCCCACCCCTGCAGCATCCTTCCTTGGGGTGCGAGGCATGGGCAGCAGCGGGGTGGTGAGTGCCGTGGGGGGAGTTGGGTAACTATTGCTGATGGGATGAGGTCTGTAATGTCCGTGCGTCGCTCTGGCCATGCCAAGTTGCTCGCCCGGGCTGGGGCTGGGGCCAGCTGCCCCCCACAGCTGAGCCTCCAGCCCTGTGTGGGGCCAAGGGGCCCTGTGCCTGCTGTCAGCCACCAGGGCCAAGAGTGGAGAGGAGCTGTGGGTAGAGAGCAGGAATGGTGCTTGGCTATGGTGCGTCTGGAGCAGCCCCATTCCACCTGCATCTCCTGATCCTGGGTACCCCCCAGAAGAACTATAGGGGTTGTCCGCAGACAAAAGCTGGTAGGATGGGCTGTGACCCACTGCCCATGGCTTCCCCCCTGCCCACCCCTGGATCACCCCAAGACTGGAGACGAGCACTCACATCACACAGTGGCTCCTCGGTCGTGCACCACAGCGCTGGGCTCCTATGGAGGGAGGAGAGATGCAGGCATCATGCAGCCCGTGGCCACAGCAGTGACCCTTCTGGGTGGAGTCAGCACCACTGACTTACAGCCCAGTACCCCATGCTGTGCCAGGCAGCAGCTCACAACCCTCGTGGTGGTCCTGGCAGGGACCCAGGAGATGGGGTAGCTGCTGACTGGTTCCAGGGCTTGGGGGGCAAACATCTCAGGGATGTCCCATCACCATTCTCCCTGGTGGAACAGCCCAAGGGCTGGGTGTGTAGTTGTGCCCAGGGCTATGCATGCTCCTCCTGCCCTATGGTTTATGCCATCCCACAGCTGTAGGGCTGGGGAATGCAACCCCCTTCTTGTCCCCCTTTCCCAGCTCTCCTCAAAGAACCAAAGGGAGAAGTCTGGCATTGCAGAGGAGCTGATGAGCAGAAGGAAATCACCACATCCCCGTGTTTGCCCTGCACGAGACCACACAGACCAGAGGGACTGTGGTCATTGCCACCATGGTGGGCCATCTGAGGAAGGAGAACCTGGTGATGTCCCTATAGGAGTCTGGAGAGGGGCTGCAGCCCATCAGCTTTGTTGTTGGGCTGTCCACATTCATGTCCATCCTCCTTCCTCCAGGCAGGCTGCCAGCCCTGGGATAACCCCAGCACTGAAGCACACTATGGCCTTTCTCCAGACCATCTGATTTCCTCATTCTCTGGCTCCTAAGAACCCTGAGGCAGCAGCAGGGAACAAATGCCTCTTGTTGCCTGGGGCACCCACATCTTCACCAGTGCTGTCCTGGAGCTCATTAAAGTTGGGATGATTGGGAAACACCAAGGTGCTCTTCCCCTCCCTGAGCACCAGTCCTCCAGAGTGGGAAAACATCTAGGATGCAAATAGTTGGATTCATTTCCTCCTGGACTTCAGGGCATCTTTCCCTACCTGTGTGTTGCATTGATGAGGTCTGTGCACCAAGACCACCAGCTTGGGGGATGCTAAGCCATGGGCAGAGGCAAAGAAGGCCTCATCAGGGAGACAAAGAACGATGATCCCAATGCAAGTGCCCAAAGAACCAAATCACGAAGGAGACCAACACATCCCTTGCACAAAGGACTGGAAGCAGCAGGGTCTTTGCTGCAAACCAACAACACCCTGCCTTCCCTTGGGAGTGGGAACCAGCAGGGTAGGAACAGTGTCATGATGATTTTGTGTGTCCCAAGGAGAAGCCACATCCGTTTGGACCATGCCCTGGCCAGCAATTGGTATTGCTGAGAAGGGCTCAGAGGGTGGAACAAGACAATCCCTCTGCCCTGCTGGCACATATATTAACAAAGGGATGGAAATATGCAGTCAGGGAATGGGGTGGGAACAGGGTGAGCAGGACTGAGGAGGTCTCATGCCACATCCAGCTCCTCTACAGTCTCTACAGTAGGAGTCACCCCACAAGCTTGGGCTGGAGAAGAGGAAGCTTGAGGGAGACCTTGCTGTGGTGTTTCTACAAAGAAAGGGGCTCATAAAAAAAAAGTGGAGAAAGGCTTTGTACCAGGGCCAGCAGTGACAGGATAAGGAAAAAGAGTTTCAAACTGAAAAGGTTTAGACTAGATGCAAAGAAATTTGTCACTGTTAGGGTAGTGAGATGCTGGAAGAGGCTGCCTGGGGAAGTTGTGGATGCCCCACCATGGGAAGTGCTCAAAGTTGGGTTAGACAGGGTTTTGAGCAATCTGATCTGATGTCTCTGCCCAGGCAGAGGGTGAACCCAGTGACCTTTAAATGTCCCTTCCAACCCCAAACATTCTGCCATTGCATGTTTGGCAGCACCCACGCACCCTGGGACCTCAGTCGGACGCCATGCCATGGTCCCTCAGCCCCTCCAACCCAGGAGACCACACAGGGACAAGAAGAAGGAGAAGGAACCCACCTGCTGCCCCATGTTCTCTGCTCCGGGCTGCCTCCTGCTGCTGTCTTCTCTCCCCATCTCATCCGGCACTTCGTGTAGGCTCAGGCTCCCGTGAATATCCGACACCTCATCTGCTGACCCCAGTCCAGCCTCCTCCTGCCCCAGCTGACCTGGGATGCTGGGACTCGACCCTCCCAGAACCCGGTGGCTCAGCAGCCTCCGCTGCCGACTGGTGCTCCCAGGAGAGCTGCCCACCGCAGTGCCAGGCACTGGGGTGCCGGTGCGGCTCTGCTCCGTGCCCTTGCCACCCTGTGTCCCCTCCTGCACAGCCCCATTCTCCAGGCTACCCGTGGGGACAGTCCCATTGTGAGCCTGCTCTCGTTGGAACCGCTCACTGCTGTGCTCCAGCTCCTCCGTGCTTGGCTCCTTGCTGCCGTCAGGCTGGGCGCCGTCCTGCTGCTCATGGAAAGCCGGCTTCTTCCCGATGTGCGTGACACGGAACCTGCAGTAGGGTGACCAGGTCAGAAGCTCTTCTCTTCCTTCTTGCACTGTTTCCTTCCCATTGTTATTTCCAGCTTCCCTTTAGTTGGGAGCCTCTCTCTTTCTCTGTTGTTGGAGGATCTCCACCCCTCAGACTCCTTCAACACCACTGATACCCCTCCCAGCCTTGCCCTGTTGACCTGATCTCATATTTCCCTCATTTTCTGAAGAAAGTGCACCTAGTGCTGCAGAGAGAAAAAGCCCAACCCAGATGCTGACTGGAGCAGACCTGAGTGGTCTGTCCTCCCCACGGTGGGATGGGGATGGGTCTCTGCTCTATGAAATGCCCTGAAACGCAGCTTGACCAAAACAGGGCTTGAGGAGGGACTCAAAAGTGTGGATTTGGGGGATGTGCAATAAGTGGGCTGAGCCCGGGGAGGAAGGGATGCTCTGAACAATGAGGATGCCACCGACCACAGAGATGATACTGACCATGAGGACACTACTGACCGTGAAGACTTCACAACTGTGAGGACACTACTAACCATAAGGACACTACTGACTATAAGGACACTACTGACCATAGGGACACTACGAACCATGGGGATGCTACCAACCATGAGGACATTGCACCTGGTGGCTGACCACTGTTCAGGAAGCAAAAGCCAGAAATCTCAGCAGGCAGAGGGAAGACAAGGTTTTGCAGGATGATCTGCATTTAATCAGAGGAGTCAGAAGCCAATAGGAGCTGCTTGACTAAAAGCCACCAAAGCACACTGTGCACAATCCTCTGGGACAATGGATGGTGTTTAGGTGTCACCAAGCCTCCACTGTGCACCAGGAACAGCTCAGAGCTCCAGGACAGGAAGGAGAGCAACCACAAAGTTGGCCTGACACCCATAATGGGTGAGTCCATAATTGGAGGTGATTGTAATGTTGTGGCTGGGGAGAAGGGAGAAGCTAGGGAGCTACCACAACCTTGGAATGTGGGAGGGGTATTGCATAGGCAAAGTGTAAGAGTCTAAACTGAGCTGGTTGTGACTTGCGCTCCGATTCTGCTTTGTAAGCATTATGAGCTCTTGCTGGCCCAGCAGACAGGAAATCTGCAGAGTGAGTGGGTGTCCAGTGGCCAAGGAACATTGGATTCATCAGAGGGACATGACGCCCCACAGCTACACTCACTGCACGAGTCACATGTGGAGCAACCACAGAAGGACCGGGCTCTGCTGAGCACAACTGTGAGTCAGCCAGAGAAAATGCAAGTTTAGCTCAAGCACTGCTCAAAGAAACATAAGACCTACAAGTTAAGAGAATGGCCATCCCAAAAAGAGAAGCTGAGAACACAGGTCCATGCACCAGATGAGATGTCCGAGGTGAAGCAGCAAAGACCAGCTCCAGACTGAGTGGTCCCAGAGGTGGAACAAGGATGGATTGGTCAGTAAGTGGATGTGAGTGAGGGATGGGACGTCAGAAAGATGTTCAGGATCATAGCTCTTATATTCTCTTCCAACACCAGGGAGCTCCAGAGACAGAGCAGATCCTAAGCAGATCGTAAGAGCACTGAGCATCCAAAATGATAAGTTTATGCCTATAGGGTAGACACGACAGGGTCCTCAGCATCACAGCTAGAAATGGTGCTCATAACTGAAAAGTGAAGAACATACATCCTGAGAACTGCTGGGTAAAACAGCATCAGATGGACCTTCCATCCAGAGACTTGGAGATGAAGAACCTGCACCGTGATACAAGACCAACAAATGTTCCATCTGGCAAGGAGAGCCTGGGAGGAGGCACGAATGACAACACCATTTCTTCGCTATGTCTTTGAGCAATGTCAGCCTGAAAGAGCCACAAAAGGACTCTGAGAAGCTGGAGGGGACTCAAGAGATAACGTAAGAAACCTTTGGATCATGAGGCAGGAGTGCTTTGGCTGTCTGCCTAGGCAGCATGGCTGGGACACTTGGTTCAATAGGACACAGCATGCTGCAGCTGAGCAAACCCGGGATGAGAGCTCCGTGGGTCGTGGATGAGCTCTGCCATTCATTTATGGGCTGCCCAGCAGCGTGGTAGAGATGGCAAAGATGAAAGGTTTAGGGAGAACCCTAAGAAAGATGGCAAATTATTCAATAATATGAAAGTACAGCACACATAGCCCCGATTACTCAGAATTACAGGATTGTTTAGGCGGGAAAGGCCTTCAGGAGGTCTCCAGTCCTTCCTGTCCCCTCATAACTGGGCCAGTTCCCACCCTCATTCCTGTTGCTCAGGGCATCCAGGCGGGTTTTGGAAGCCTCCCTGAACATCCATCTCCCTGCTCCTACAGTCCCTGTCCCACAATGAAATATTTTCTTTTCACGCTCCATCCATGTTTCTCTTGTTGCAACTTCTGGCTGTTGCCTCCTGCCCTTCCAATGTGCATCTCCAGTAAGACCAGCTCCGTTTTCGCTTCAACTCCTCCCACCCCTTTGAGTTTTAGGGAGCAATTAAATCCCCCCAGAGACCTCTCCAGGCCAAACAAACCCCATTCTCTCAGCAGCTCTTCGTGGGCCATATGCTCCAGCCCTGTACGGCTGCAGTGGAACTACAATAACCTTGCAGTCAGACCTCATACCAAGGAGATTCAGGAAGTGGGAACTTAAAACATAACCTTGGAAACATCTTATGTGACATGAAAACCTAACAAGGAAAAGGGGAGAACGTCAGAATGTGAGGAAAGGTGCAGTTAGGGACAGAGATCAGCTTCTTCATGCACTCAGAGGTGAGTGCGAAGAGCATGGATGAAGGACATGGAGGAGAGATGTAGCTGGGCTCTGGCCAGGGAATGAGATTAGCCATGAATATGCGACTGTACAGAGGTCTTGTTTACCAGCCACCAGTCCCAAAACCCAGGCCAGCTGGCAGCAAGGGCACAAGCTCCCCTTAAAGCCCCCAGTTCCCTTCTGTCTCTGATGGTAGAAAGCCCACAACCCTGGTGCCCAGTCTGGCTGAACATCATCAAAACACTTCTGCTGGGGAATGGGGCAGCCTGGGCAGGGTCACAGATTGCATCAGTTACTTACAGCACAGAGACCACAAGTAGCTCAGGAAGTCCCTTGAGGTGAGAACAGATAGAGACTGGGAGACTATTTGTGGGATTTGTCAGTGCACTCCCCTATTCTTACCTTCCTCCCACACTATCTAATTATCATCATTATTGCAGGCGAAGACTTGGGGCAGAATAGCCATTCCTTCATTCTGGTGGGAGTTACTTGCAACAGGAACCTGCTGTCCCCCCTCTCCATGAGATCCCTACCACCTGCCCCACAGGAAGGCTGCCCCCTACCCTGCTGTAGGCTCAGAAGGGACGTGGGTTTGGTGCTGCTCTGCTCTGAGCCAGCGGGACAACCCCAGCCTGAGTCACCAAAGGGAGGAGGAGGGAGGAAACCCACGTGTCACAGCCACACACCACGGGAATTTCGAGGTGTGAGAGGACCCAACAGCAGGGCCAACCCAGGACGTGAGATGGGGAGGAGCACGAGGCAAGCGGACAAGTGGGACAGAAAAGACTTCGTGGAGCAATGCTCCGTCTGAGCAGTACCTGCCCACTGAGAAGACAGTGGTCTCTCCGGGGTGCATCCGGCCTTTGCCATCCTTGGACCGGCCCTGGCGGTGCAGTGGGTGCCTCCTCCTTTTGCTGCAGTGGATGCAGGGGGCTTGCGTGGAGCCCAGGTGCACTGTATGGTGGTGAGGGGGGCCTCCATCCTGGCTGTTACGGTGGGGACAAAGGCTGCAAGAGGAAAAGGACACGACAGGTCAAATCCTCAGCACCAAGGTGACACACGACGGTTTCTTCTCCCTGACTCTAGCCACAAGCTGGAATAGGTTTCCCTCACCTGGGCATTGGCACTGCTATGTCCCCGTCATTGTCCCCCAGCATCTCCTTGAGGGCTTCTGCGTTTGCTGAAGAGAGAGGAAAAAGGGATTGTGTCAGCCAAAGCGGCCAGCAAGGCTGTGAGCCAGCCCAAGGAAACACTCACCTTCATTCTGGATGATGCATCTCACGATCTTCTCCACGGTGTCCTCATTCAGCTCCTCCTCTTCATCTGAAAGGAGAAATTATGGCGCCTGAGGGGTGGGATTGGGCCAACCTTACAGCTCCTGGCTGCAGGGTGCTACAGGGCTAAAGGTCTCTAAGGGTAAATGGGACAAGTTCACATACAAGAAAACCAAGGAGGGCTTGTTAAATACATAGAAACAATCTCCAATGGAGGAAGTCCCAGAGTTATGGTGTTTGAAGCTTAAAAGAGCACGCTGGGGAAATATGGCTGGACGTCTGCCCTGTTTTGGAAACCATCCCCAGCACCCATCACAACAGGCCTTTGGCCATTTTGGTGACAGGAGCCCTGGCTGGGAGACCTTAGCCCAGCCTGCAGGGTTGGCTTTTCTTATGAGCAGGTTCAAGCTGGTGGGGAGCTGCCTTGCGGAGCACAGGGGCTGCTGCCATGCTCCTAGAAGCCCAAGAGACTTTCCCAAGGTCGTGGCATCTCCAGCAATCAAAATCAGCCTGGAAACTTCAGATACCATCCATGTGCAGCCAAGTCAAGCAGCTTACTGGGACCAAGCTCTGCCTTTCACATACACTCAGTGCTCTTTGTGATAGGGACAGCCCCACAGCAGCAGGGCCGAGCTCCCTGCCCCGTCGCACCATGCATCTTCCAGCCAGCCCAACTCACACCCAAAGGCTGTGGTTGAGGAGTCCCAAAGGGCAGCAGCAGAGCCCCCCAAGCCCCTGTACTCACTGGCCTGGAGTTCTGCCAGCACGTCCTTATTATCTGGGTCGAGCTCATCCCGGAACGTCCTGCACCGGTAGCCCTTCTTCTTCAGGACATGGCAGATGAGGAACCCTACCAGCCCCATGATGAAGAAGACCAAAACAAGGAGGAAGACCATGTACAGGCTGTGCTGGGAGTCGGACTCCCCATCTTCGCTGCTGCTCTGGTCGGACATGCGGATCTAGGAGAAGGGGGAAGGTGGCTTGAAGACCCCCACCAGGCTGCCTGCATCTCCTCCTCCTCTTCTCCCTCAGTCCCCCCCATGCTTCCTCCAGGCCCTGTTGGGTCAGACCCGGCTCCCAGCTGGGGATGAGATGAAGGCACAGCCCTGCCATGGCCGGCTCAGCTCTGTTTCCCAAGGACACACCGCCGCCACCAAAGCATCCCAAGGGCAGCAGGAGCAGCGGGAACCGCCGCGTTCCCCCTCCCCCCCGCGTACAGCAGCCCAAGGGCACCAACCTCCCAGCATCACTTCGCAAAGCCCCTCGCCCTCTCTCCCCTCGCCCCCCTCCCCCCCGCTTCGTGACTCACGGCGGGCGGAGGACCGAGCGACCGCCAGCTCCCGCATCCTCCCCGCAACCCCCGGAGCCACTTCGCTCCTCCGCCGCCCGCCTTCCTATCCCCATCCGCGGTGCGGTGCGTGGCTGCGGCGGTACCTGGGCCTGCGGTGCTCCGCAGCGCTGTCCCCGTCACCTTCACCTGCCTCCTAGCAACCCCGCATCCCCGCGGCTCTGGACCGCCGCGAGCATCCTCCGCTGTCCCGGCTTCCTCGGGAAGGAACCTGGCGGCTTCTGCCTGCCGAGGCGGCCGCTGCCAACCCGCTCGTCCTCAGCCTGAGATCTCCGGAACGCCCGCGGTGGGGGATGGCTTCAGGCAGGCTCAGAGAAATGCTGCTGGCAGCTGCAGCGCGGGGCAAGCGGCAGCAGCGGGTGCTGGCACGCTGCTCCCTGCCCCAGCACCCCCCTTCCCGGGCAGTTTTTGGAGCAGTGAAGAAGAGCTGGCTGGAAAGTGTCTGAGCACAGAGTGAGGTGCATTTGCCTGCAATGGTTAGAAGCATTGCAAAGGAGCCCCTGTGGATCCAGCAGCCCATGTCAGCACGAACAGTTCTCCCTTCTTCCCCAAAATGTCTGAGCTGTTCAACATTTCAGTGCCACAACCTCCCTCTCTGTCCTCAGTCTGGGAAGTTTCACCCCCAATCTTTTCTGCTGCAAATGACACCTCTGTATCCCGCACCCAAAAGCCACCCAACGCTCTTGTGAGCCCTGCTGACACCAGTCCCATCCCACCACCACCACTGAGCTTCCTCGTGCAGCTGAGCCCTTGAGAACAGGTGCAGGCAGGTGACCCACAGCACTCAGCTGTGCCACCACCAGAGCTCCCTTCCGCATCCAGAAGTGGCCATCAGAGCCCTGGCAGTAGCTGCAAGGAGCCACAGACCCTCCTGCATCCTATGACTTGAGGAGGTCATCAAGTCATCAGTGCCACCCTTCTGTCTGCTGTCCCAGGATGGAATGGAGGCACATCAGCCTGGCAAGGGGGGGACAATGGGCACAAAGCCAGGATGGCTGCATGAGAGGGCACCTGATCTCAGCCCAACACACTGCAACAGCATACAGCATGGCACAGAGTGGGACATTAAAAGTGTTTTACACCTTGCTTCTTCTAAGGGCACACTGCAAGTCTCGGGTTCTCCTGAGATGTAGGGTGAGGCTGATTCCCATCTGTTCTCAAGCCCCCGCTGTCCTTCACAATAAATCCCTTTCTGCTCCCTGGTGTTTCCACCCACCCAATGCATTTCTGCATAGCAGTCCAAACAGGGGGTGCAACCAGTCCTGATCACGCCATCCCCTTTCCCAGGGGAACCCTGCATGGAAAGAGCTGGAAGCAGGTAAGGAGCAGGCAAGGAGTGGGCTCTGCTCCTGCCAGGCACATCACAGGGGTATCCCATCCCATAGAGTTCCTCCACCCATCCTTCTTTCCTTCTGTCAGTATGGGGCAGTACTGGGGCATGGCGTGGTGGCTCTGGCCTCAGCATCCCCCTGGATCAGCATCCCCATAGAGCCCCAAACCTGTGTCCTTATCCCCACGGGGATACATCCCTGTGTCCTCATGCCCATGGAGCTACGTCTCCATGGAGCCCCAGCCCCCTGTCTGCAACCCCACGGAGCTCCATCGCTGTGGATGTGCACCCCAACGGGCTCCATCCATACAGAACTCCATTCCAGTGGATCTGCATCCCCATGGGGCTGCGTCCTGCAACCTTGCTTGGTCCATTCAGAAGCCCTGGAGGCTTCGGGCTCCCTTGTGACACTGCTGGCAGTTCTGCTCCAAGCATCGCAACGGTTAACGCGAGCGCAGCTGCAGGCACGCTGTCTGCGAAGTGGGCGGTGCTTTAACAACGCCCCGCCCCCATTTCGCTCAAGCTCCGCCTCCATCTCGCTCAAGTCTCTCCCCTTACCGGCCACTTCTCGCGAGATCTAACGCGCAGCCAAGCGCCGACGGGCGGTGCGGTCGCGAAGTGATGACGTAGAAGGGGCGCGGGGCGGCGGTGGCGGCCTGTTCGCCATGGCGAAGACCGTGGCCTATTTCTACGACCCGGACGTCGGCAATTTCCACTACGGTGCGGGGCTGGGGTCGGGCCGGGGGGGATCGGGCTGATTTGGCCCCGCTCCCGTCTCGGGGTCCGGGCTGCAGAGCGGTACCGGTCCGCGGGAACAGCCTGTGCTGCGCTCGGGCCTAATCCTGCTCCGTGCCGCCCCTGACCGCCTGTGGTTTCCTTCCTTTCAGGAGCCGGGCACCCCATGAAGCCGCACCGTCTGGCGCTCACCCACAGCCTGGTGCTGCACTACGGCCTCTACAAGAAGATGATCGTGAGCATCGCTCCCCGGGGGGAGGGTGGGTGGGCGGGCTGTAGGGCTGTGGGGCCTCCACACGCGGAGCTGAGCTGCTGACTCCGGTTCCCAGCTGTCAATACGCAGGCTTGGGCTGCGTTGCTGAGTTCTCGTTAGAAAGTTCATTTGGCCTTTCTCGTGGCCTTCGGCTCCATACTGGGCTCAGCAGGTAGCACTGCTCGCAGGTGTGGCTGTGGCATCCTTAGGGTCTGCTGAGCCCCCAGCGCCCACCTGAGCTCTGAGGCCATGGCAGCACCGCTGGCTGTTAGTGCTGAGCTGGTGCTGGAGGAGTGACAGTGGATGTGAAACCTCTGTGCCTGGAGCTGCCTTTGGCAGAACCCAGCAGTCAGTGTGGGCTGTGTGTTATCATACACTGATAAAAAGAAGCCCTCTGGAGGCTGACGGGTCCGTCTCAGTGCCTGAATGGAGTTCGTTCATCCTATCTCACACTTTATACGTGTCTTTGACATCCTTGCTCCCCAGCCAATTCACTCAACGTAGTTACTGGTGTTACTATTGGGAAAGATGGTTTTTTTTTTTCCTGAATGCTGAACTGTGTAATCCTGTTAAAACATAGTCATCGTTTAGTGATGATCAAAAAGGAAGCTGATGTTTTCTTATGTTTCAAGTATGAGAGGAATGGAATCTCACCACAAATGTGTGGTACCCATGTGGTGAAATACGTTGTTTCACTTGGCATAAGGGGCACTGAGCTCAGCCCCTTTCCTGTGAATCCCTGCTCGCTTTGCTGTCTTTTCCTCTAGAAGAGAGCAAAGAAAGCTCTGCAGTACAGGGTGTGATGTCTCACAGTATGAGAGCAAGGCAGGGGTGCTGAGAAGCGTGTGGCTGCTTGATGCTTCTGAGATGGCTGCTGCACTGAGATGCTGCCCCACTGCACTGGGGCTGCTTCCTTTGTTCTTGGCTAGCTTCTTGGCACCTCAGTTCTGAGGGATCGTATCTGAACTGTTTTGCCTGCTGAGGGATTAGATTCCTGTGCCAAGTGGCGCAGTTCCAGGTCACAGTGTTTGATTCACAGCCCAGGTCTGGCTGCTCCTTGCTGTCCCCAGAACCCGTCATCTGCTTCACGTGCCCTGGGGAAAAGCTGCTCCCCAGGAGGCTGCTGCAGCTGCACGCCTTTCTGGCTGTGTGTTTGTGCCTGTATGCATGTGTACTTGCTTGTGTCCATGTACGTAACAGGGTTTCCTCTTGTGGGTGTTACCTCTTTAAAAGGAAGAGCATTTCTGTCACAGGCATCATCACACATAGAACAGAAGGGGTAAACCATTGCTTGAAGGTGCAGGGATGCTGCTGCTGTCTCTTCCTCTATGTGCTCACGCATGCCATCTGTATTCCTTTGCCACTTTGCAGTCAGGCCATTCTCCCTGTGAAACTCCAAACCAGCAACTTCCCTGTAACTGGTGTCTGAACTCAGTGACCAGGAGGTTATGCTGATGCAAGGGCACATTCCTCTGACAGCTTTGTGCAAACAGCAGTCACTCCAGCCAGGCCAGGCACCTCCACACTGCTGACAGCTCCCCAGTCTTCCTCTTCCCCAGCATTTACTGCACTTTCAAGGATCTGCTGGGTATTTGGTTGTGATAGCAGAGAAAGCCTGTCCTCAAAGGGCATTTGTTCAAGCACTCAGGAGTCAGGTGATGCTTAAAAGCAGAGTTGTGCTTTTTGTGAGCACGGGAGAGCAGTAACGTTGATGCTGGCACATGGTGTTTGCAGTGTTTGAGAAGGCAAGACAAGGTGCAATACTCTTGCAGGCATGGTAGCAAAATGTGAGCAGACAAGTTAATGCAAGCAGGAAAACTGCTTGCTCACAGCTGCTTTAAACATGCCACAAGACTTTGACGTTATCTCTTAGTGCTCTGTGAGTGCCTGGCATTTGGCTTGGGCTCAAGTTCAAGCTGTTCCACTGCCAGAGCACTTTGTGGTGAGAGACCTGGGGATTGAGTGGGAAGAAATAGAAAATGAGCTGTCCCAAAATGAACGCACAGCATCAATTTTTTAAAAAGAGATGCTAAAATGGACGGGTGAAACTGCTCCTTGATGCAGTATCTGAAATTAATTCAGTATGCTGAAGTATTTAAAAAGCTCCCTTGTGCATTCAGCATTGCTCCTGCAGCTTGGTGCTCAGGAACATCGCATCCTTTAGATTTTTCAGCTGCTACTGTAGGAGCTTTTGCAGGTGTGGTTATCAGCAGGTGCTGAGAGTTGAGCCCTCTGCAGGGTCTGCCCTCACACTGGTGCATGCTGGCTGCTTTGGCCAGTCACTGGGAAGCCAATCCCTGCTTGGCATGGTGATGGGATGCAGGCTGTAGGAGCTGTTCTGACCCCTTTGCTATCAGCTCTCTCTTCCCAGTGGAGCTCATGGTCCTTGCACCCACCCTGCCATGCATGCCTTTCCTTTCCTTTCATTCTCTTGTCCCCATCTCCTGCCCCAGCAGAGCCTGCTCTTTTTTCTCTTCCCAGCCTCTGAGGCTTTTTTCTCTGCCTGCTTTGCCTTTTTCTTCTCTGCTCAGGTGCATCTGCACCCTTTTATCGTATTACTTTCTCCTGTCTTGCCTGCATACAGGCAGTTAAAACTGTTGAGACAGCAGGAAGAAGTTGCCCCATTCCTGCTGAGCTCCTGGGGAAGCTCTGGCTGGGGAATCTCAGAGAGCACTGAATCTTCACAGAGTTTAGCATTCAGATTTTTGACTGCAAACGTATGGAGTAGTTTCTCTTGAGTTGGGAATTCTCCTACAGAAAGAGCAAAAAGCACATTCAGACCAGACACCAAATGTTAAACCTGTGCCTGTGTGAGGCAGTAGGCAGGGCTGAGCATTTCACTGTTTTCAGCCCTGAAACTGGTGGTGGTTTTTGAGGGGGGAGGTGAGGTTTACACTTTCCTCAAGAAGCTGAAACTGCAGAGGAAACTTCATCTTGACTGGCAGAGCTCTGAGCACATAAAAGCAGGGGATTATTGGCCGACTGTGACTACAAAAGGCCCTGTTAACTTTGTGCTGTGGTTGCATCATTATCTGCCTTCCTCACCACCTCCAAACAAGAGGTTGCTATTTTGTCAAGGTAGCTGAAGTCAGGTTTACTTCCTGACGTCTTTTCCAGCTTATTTGTGGCTGTGGTGGACAAATCTTTAAGGCTCAGCATTGCACAAAAGGGGGAGAATTATCTGGCTGCTCGTGTTCTCTGTTTTTCTGCTGCGTCTTCCTGCTGCCTTTCCTGTGCTGCATCTGGAAGCTGCTGGATCCCGTGGGAACCAATGGAACTCGGTCACTCAGCAAAAGCAGGAGAGTTTTGTGCTGAGCTGGCTGAGCAAGAGACTGAGTGCCAGGCGTGCTCAGGGAGGTGCCTGGGGCTGTGGCTGCAGCGGGTGAAGGGCAAGAGGAGGGGGAAGGAGTCAGCTTTCCCCTTTTCCCAGCTGTGAGTAGGTCTGGAAGCTTTTGGTTTTGTTGTTGTTTTTCCATCTCTACTTTCTGCTCCAGGTCCCCTCTGTGTCTTTGTCCAAGAACATCTCTTGAGTGTCGCTTCTTTTCTGTGACATTGTGGTCTTCAGTTACTCACTCATCAGGCTTCCTGATAGACCTTGTTGGGTCCAGCCCCACTTTCACCCCTGCCTGCCAGTCCCACTCTCTTGGCTCTAGCTATCCCAAGCAGCAGAGCCCCACACATTGACAGGGAAAGCACTGAGCAGCACAGTGAAGGAGATACCACGTTTGTTAGACTGTATTTTACCTCTATTTTACATATCAGAGGTCCTGCCTGGCCCAGGGAAGGCATGTTGTGGGAGCTGCCTCAGCACATTCTCCCTCTGGAGATGAGCTCACGCTTCCTATGTGTTTTGTTTTTTAATCTTCCAATTATTTTATAAAGCGTGTGCTTTAATTAAGACAAGTTCTGAAACACGAAAGATTCTCTCTTACTGGTTTCAGTGTAGCTTTGGTTTCCCCTTTTTGGGTACGTGGAGTTGATTTTTAACTTCCTGTTTATTGAGGTATGCGTGTTAAGTGCCAAACTGGCAAATGTGTGTTGTCATGAGAACTTCAGTTCAAATCCATCCAGCCCCATGACTGTTTTTAGCTGACTTTCCAAAGGAAACAAAGCTTATGCAAACGTTCCATCTGCCTAAGAGCCTTCTCCAAATTAACTTCTGAACTCACCAGCCCTGTAAACAGCTCTGATGGAGGGATGGAAACCTCCTCGACATCAAGGTGTTGTGACTGGTGAGGCAGCAGTGCTCCCATGAGGACAGAGCTGAGGTTTGGATTCAGCTGTCACTTTTTGCTGGCTTGCTGTCTGTCCAAACAAGGGGTAGGGGGGTAGTGGTGGAAGGAAGGGATCAGAGAGCATATGGGAGAAGC